TTGCCATTTACATATACAGGCGTAGACTTTGCAGGCCCATTCCAGGTAAAATCGGGAAATTTAAAAAATTCTCCCTTTCAGAAAGCATACGCATGTATATTCGTTTGTTTTTCGACGAAGGCAATTCACCTGGAATCTTGCACTATTTTGACATCAGATGCTTTCTTGGTAACCCTTCCAAGGTTTATTGGGAGAAGAGGTTTACCAAAAGTTGTTATGTCCGACAACGGCACTAATTTCGTTGGTGTGAGCAGTGATTTAGTAATAGAATTGAAAAATTTTGTGGAAATAATGAAATCTCAAATAAATATGCCATAAGAGGTTTCGAATGGAAATTCATTCCGCTTGGCGCTTCACATATAGGTGGTTTATGGGAAGCTGGTGTGAAGAGTTGTAAGACTCATTTCAAAAAGCTTATCGGACAACAAAAGTATACTTTTGAAGAATTTATTACAACTCTTGTACGTATAGAAAGTGTATTAAATTCAAGACCGATATCATCTGAAGACCCAGAAGAGGTAGAAGCCCTAACTCCGGCTAATTTTCTGAGAAGAGGACCGCTATAATTTGCACCTGAATTGTCTTCAGATAATATATTAGATATCAATCGTTGGGAAAAACTGTGGATCATGCATCATGACTTCAGTAAAAGGTGGAAAAGTGAATATCTCCAAGAAATGCACTAGCGATATAAATGCCCAAATCGCGAACGGGACATAGAAAAAACTGACTTTGTACTCGTGAAAGCTGATACTCTACCACGCAATGACTGCAAAATGGGACGCATAGTCACGACCTATATAGGCGACGGTGATCATGTGAGGGTCGCTGACGTAAAGACATGCGACGGCATAATAACGAGGCCAATATCTAAACTTTGCGTATTACCCGTAAACGGTAGAACAGTGTGTGGTACATGTTTTTTTGAAAAGAAGAATGAGATTTATTAAGGGCCCATGTCGTATGGTCAAATTCGTTTGCTTTGTTTTTGTTTCTTTCCAGAAAATGAACGAACAAGGGAACAATGCCTCGTTTGTTATAAATATCACCCATATCACTGTCACCCAAAAGGACAGAGAATATGCGGCGAGGGTACATAAGTTCTGTTTGAATTGCCTATCTCGGAATCATTTTGTACGTTTTTGCAACGCACCCGGGAATTGCAGGGTGTGCAGGGAAAGACACCATACTCTACTCCATCCAGAACAACCGCGAACCTCAAGTACCCAGCATCAAAAACCAAAGCAACCTTCCCATTGCTAAGAGCACATCCAACAGGAATCAAAGGCGGAGCAGAGTTAGCACCAATATCCAGCAACGGGCCGACACAAAGACCCACAGGCCCAATATCCACAACAATTGTGGGATCAAAGGCTACAGCAACACAAATTACAAAATCTAAGAGGTCGAACGCCATTGCTACCCCGAAAGACGCAAAGGACAACAAGACTAAAAGGAGAGCCTAACGAGTCATCAGAAGAAGAGACAATTAAAAAGATTTTAAAAGAAATCGCAATTCAAATGAAGGTATTAGCTTCTGCCGTCAATGTTGCACACGTGCAAAGGGGGGAGCATGTCGAGGTCCAAGCCAAACCCCTCTCCACAACCGCAATCAGACCCCCCTTCGATCCACACCAATGGAGACCGATGTCATCGATGAGGATGAATTGATAGACCTTGACCTCTAAACAGAAGGTGATCGAAGTTGTGTCGTCACTAAAAAAGTTGCTAAATAAAGGATCGTCTTGATCAACAACCATAATTCCAAACCAATAAACTTGTCGACAGACAATATTTCTTTTATTTAAAACCAAGTGACCTTTGTGCTATTTTAGTGAACATCACGTAAGTAAATTTCATATACATGTGGTGTCATTTTTGCTGTGTATTAGTTGTTGCAGTTACCTCCAACAACCATTTCCAAGGCTCTAAATTACGGCGTAATTTAGAACCCAAATTACAGATCCTTCGTCGTTGTGGGAATCTGTTTATTCTCAAAGTTATTTATAACACTTACAACTCATTTCAAAAAGAATCAAGTCAAATTCATAACTTACTTAACCAAATGAGATTTCTTTTTGAAGTAATTTTATAAAACAGGACATTATAAGAGATTTTGTTTATATGCAAAAAATATTTTTTCCCTTGCGAAACTATATAAAAATAAATTGAATAAAATACTTAGGACTTGCTTTAATTGCAAACCTTGCAAATCACATATTGAATCTCTTTGACTGTTTACAGTTGATTGACGCTGAAAGGCTGATAATTGAATAAAAAATTGTTTATTAGATATTTTTAAATATTTCTTCACTTTTAGAAACTGGTGGACAATCTTTAAAATACGAAGTCAGGGAGTTAATTTTCTAAGCTTTAAAGAAATTTGTTAAAAACCCATTTATTTATTTATTTATTTATTCATTTTTTTTTCTTTGAAAAAATCCAACAAAACGTAATTATTCCACCTAGTCTTTTCCAATTAGCTGAACTTCGTACAAAGAATCATTTAACTGTGGAACGAAGTTTAAGTTAAGAAAAACTTTACCCAAGTAAAAACTTTTACTCTCCCAGCAAAAAATTTTCTGAAAATTGGAAGCAGTAATTTTTTTCATGTCTCCTTTAGCGCTTTCTCTAAAGGCAAATTCATTGCTAGTTGGTAAAAACGGGTGAAGCGCAACTTTTCCTCAGTAAAGTATGTGGGAGCTTCCGTTCTCATTTACACGGTTGCACACTTGGAAGCACCACGAAGTTAAGATCGTTAATGTTCGTATCTATTGTTTGAAAATATGCAATTAGGATCTCACTTGCATGCTCTCGAGTTATTATTCGATTATGTAATCAGTTTGTGATTTGATTGTGATGTGGACGGACGTCTCTACGCACGTGTGAAGATTTATAACGGGATATTTTTTGTGTGTCCTTTTTTTTTTGTTGTTGTGGAGCAAAACTGTTTTTTAATAAAGTTGAAGTAAGTAGATGTATTTTCTATGAATTTCTGTACGTAAACAATTGTGTGTCGTCGTCTTAAATTTGTTGTGTTAGTTTAAAAAACATAATGGGGAAATCCAAAAAAAATTAATTGGCAAAAGACAGCTGAACAGATTAATTAAAAACGAAAAAGATAAAAATAGAGACGGGGTTATTGCGGCAAATTCTGCAATAGTTGAAAGAAACTTCAATGCCAATTCCGATACAATATCAGATAATGACTTCGATGTTGCGATACTAACAAAAATATCTTTATGCGATGAACTCCGCAATTGGTATATAAAGCACTATCCATCAATAGCATGCATTTCAGATATGTTAAAAATATTAAAATCGCAAGGTATGGATGTACCATTGAGCGTACCTACATTATTAGGGCAACATATTAGAGTTTTGAAAAGAACTGTAAGTCCAGGTTCATATTTTCACATTGGAATAGTGAATAATTTACAGAAAATTACAGATATTGCCATCGAAAGAAATATAAAAGAGTTTATATTGGATATTGGAATCGATGGACTTCCTTTATTCAAAAGTAGTGAGATTGGATTATGGCCTATATTAGCTAAAGTAATCAATATTCCGGATATAAATGTTTTTATGATAGGAAGTTATGTGGGGAAACAAAAACCTAGTAATATAGACCACTTCTAACATGATTTTGTGAGTGAGATAAAAAGACTTGAATTCGAAAGTTTCATTTCTAATAAGTTTAAATTTGATATTAAAATCCGAGCATATTTGGTAGATGCTCCAGCTCGATCCTTTTTTTGTGGAACCAGGTCTCATAATTCATTAAATGGCTGTAGTAAATGTGAACAAAGAGGTGTCAGAGTTGATAACACAACTATTTTTAGTACTTCTGTTGGGACACTTCGTACCGATCAAGACTTTAAAGATAGAAAATATGTAGACTTTCACAAAGAAAAATATTTAAATGATGTAATGGCATTAGAAACTATCAACACAAACATGATTACGCAATTTCCTCTAGATGTAAAGCATTTAGTTGACTTAGGAGTGATAAAAAAAAATAATTAATACTTTATTCAAAGGAAACAAACGGCACCGCTTGTCCCCTGGCGCAAGGCAAAATATGTCGTCACAGCTCTTGTCATTAGTTCCATATGTTCCGAGAGAATTTGCCCGAAAACCCCGTTCCGTCTTTGAATATCCCAGATGGAAATCTGTAGAATTTAGACAACTTCTTATTTATACAGGATTAGTTATACTAAAACCGTTCATAAGCAAAGAACAATACAGCCATTTTCTTTTGCTATCATGTGCTTATCGCATGTTACTTTGCCCCAACATTAAAAGTGAAAACATTACAAAATCAGAAAGTATGCTAAAAATCTTTGTAAATGATTTTTCAAAATATTATGGTCCTACTAGCGTTACTCATAACGTTCATAGTCTTTTACACTTGCCTGATACAGCAAGATTTTACGGTCCATTGAGTGATATCAATGCTTACCCATTTGAAAATATGCTTAAAACTGTTAAATAAGCAATAAAAAAAAAACACAATATATTGAGGAACAACTATTTAAAAATTTTTCAAATGCTATCTTAAAAAAAGAAAGCTCTTTCTTAGGCAGAAAGAAGAATTCGCAGAATGTTATTACCTCCTTCCATACAGAAAAAGGGGTTTTTAGTACTAAATTTCAAGATAGCTTTTGCATAATTAAAGGAGATATACCTGCTCAAATAGTTAGATTTGAGGAAAATCATATAAAAGTTCGAATATTTGTGGAACCTAAACCCTATTTTGACAACCCAATTTGTTCTACCGATTTTGGAATAATTCTTGTAAACAGCACATTATTTAACAACGATATTGTTAAATATAACGAAATATCAGGAAAATTCTTTTCTTTGCCATACAATAAAGACACTATTTTGATACCCATCATACACTACAATTGAATACGCACAGAAATATTTAAATGTACGTGCCATATTATAAACAATGAATTTATTAAACCTTCATATAAATATTTTAGTATGCCTCTACCAAAAAGAAATAAACAGCCAATCCCGCAGAATTCCCAAGATGACAAAATTCTGCAAAAGTTAAACGATATTTACGAAAATGTCCAAGAGACTTTTGAACTTAATGGGAGTGAAATATCTAATTTAAACCACAACGTAAAAATGCTTCAAGGTGAGTACATAAGAAAGGCTTTGTTTACATACAAAATAAAATTATATTTCTTTAAGACTTGGTTTCCAATCAAAATGAGGCGATATCGGCCCTTCGAACTGATATTAGTAAACTTAAAGGTAATTGATCTATAGAAATTTATAATTATTAATAAAGTAATTTTAATTTCTCATTTATGTGTTAAAATTTCAGCATGTTCTGAGAATCAATATCTCATAATTACTGCACTACTATCAGAAATCAACGTTATATTGAAAACCCATCTAACCCCAGGACTTGAAAAACATAAGTATAAAGAATTGTTTCCAATAAGAACACAGGAGGAACTCGAAGCTGTTGAAAATGAAATAAACAATGAAAATGTTGGATTAATGGTAAAAAAATGCATTTATTTGGTAAAATATTGACATTAATAAAATATTTATTTATTCCATCAGATTGCGAACATAAAAAGTATTTTAGGCTGTGGGAAACTACAAAGTAACTTTAGGGAACTAATTGATATGCCTTTACTGTTGGAGTATAACGTATTTGGTCTGCAAGGCCTAAAACGATTACCTAATTATGAAAAGTTTACTGGCGCCATATATCGTAAGTTTAGTTGAATTGTGTCTGACTGCATTTAATATTTGTTTCACAGATGCTGTAGGTTCGGAATTTGCCACCAAAAAGGAATTCTTTAAACATTTGAGCAAGGCCGTTCGACTCGTGAAAAACCTTTACTATAAAAACAATTCAAGCAAAAAGAAGCAAAATAATGAAGATATCGAGGGAGAAATATAAACTTATATCGATTTATTGAATTTTTAGAATTATATAACAAGTTCCTACCATATTCTGTACCTCACTAATTATATAATATGAACTTTAATGTGTTTTCTTGTACAAAGAAATTGTTTTTGAAGTAATAAAATTTATATTTTTTTAATTTTAAACTCTGTTTTATTTATGGATGAAAAGGGTGTGCTTCGGCATTGTCTTTCTTTCTGCGCATTTAACGGCGCTGTAAAAAGAAAAACCTTTCCTCGATGATTTATGTTGCAATGAATTCACTCTTTCCGTGGCGGGCTTTCGTTTGCGCTGTTCAGGATAAATAAAGGATGCGCATTTTCGCGGGACATTTCTTTATATTTTCACCAGTGAATTCTGCGCTATAGCTAGCGCTACCATGTCTAATGTAGAAAATGGGGGTTGCACATGTTTCTGTAACACATCTAGAGTGAGTCATTGTCAATTTTAGCATTAAACAATTGAAGTACATTTAAGACCCAGCAAAAAACCCAAGGAAAATTCCTCACTGTTGTAAACGAAGATTTTCTACATTAGACATGGTAGCGCTAGCTATAGCGCAGAATTCACTGGTGAAAATATAAAGAAATGTCCCGCGAAAATGCGCATCCTTTATTTATCCTGAACAGCGCAAACGAAAGCCCGCCACGGAAAGAGTGAATTCCTTGCAGAAAAATGCGTTTATTAAGCAACATCGAGGAAAGGTTTTTCTTTTTACAGCGCCGTTAAATGCGCAGAAAGAAAGACAATGCCGAAGCACACCCTTTTCATCCATAAATAAAACAGAGTTTAAAATTAAAAAAATATAAATTTTATTACTTCAAAAACAATTTCTTTGTACAAGAAAAAACATTAAAATTCATATTATATAATTAGTGAGGTACAGAATATGGTAGGAACTTGTTATATAATTCTAAAAATTCGATAAATCGATATAAGTTTATATTTCTCCCTCGATATCTTCATTATTTTGCTTCTTTTTGCTTGAATTGTTTTTATAGTAAAGGTTTTTCACGAGTCGAACGGCCTTGCTCAAATGTTTAAAGAATTCCTTATTGGTGGCAAATTCCGAACCTACAGCATCTGTGAAACAAATAATAAATGCAGTCAGACACAATTCAACTAAACTTACGATATATGGCGCCAGTAAACTTTTCATAATTAGGTAATCGTTTTAGGCCTTGCAGACCAAATACGTTATACTCCAACAGTAAAGGCATATCAATTAGTTCCCTAAAGTTACTTTGTAGTTTCCCAGAGCCTAAAATACTTTTTATGGTCGCAATCTGATGGAATAAATAAATATTTTATTAATGTCAATATTTTACCAAATAAATGCATTTTTTTACCATTAATCCAACATTTTCATTGTTTATTTCATTTTCAACAGCTTCGAGTTCCTCCTGTGTTCTTATTGGAAACAATTCTTTATACTTCTGTTTTTCAAGTCCTGGGGTTAGGTGGGTTTTCAATATAACGTTGATTTCTGATAGTAGTGCAGTAATTATGAGATATTGATTCTCAGAACATGCTGAAATTTTAACATATAAATGAGAAATTAAAATTACTTTATTAATAATTATAAATTTCTATAGATCAATTACCTTTAAGTTTACTAATTTCAGTTCGAAGGGCCGATATCGCCTCATTTTGATTGGAAACCAAGTCTTAAAGAAATATAATTTTATTTTGTATGTAAACAAAGCCTTTCTTATGTACTCACCTTGAAGCATTTTTACGTTGTGGTTTAAATTAGATATTTCACTCCCATTAAGTTCAAAAGCCTCTTGGACATTTTCATAAATATCGTTTAACTTTTGCAGAATTTTGTCATCTTGGGAATTCTGCGGGATTGGCTGTTTATTTCTTTTTGGTAGAGGCATACTAAAATATTTATATGAAGGTTTAATAAATTCATTGTTTACAATATGGCACGTACATTTAAATATTTCTGTGCGTATTCAATTGTAGTGTATGATGGGTATCAAAATAGTGTCTTTATTGTATGGCAAAGAAAAGAATTTTCCTGATATTTCGTTATATTTAACAATATCGTTGTTAAATAATGTGCTGTTTACAAGAATTATTCCAAAATCGGTAGAACAAATTGGGTTGTCAAAATAGGGTTTAGGTTCCACAAATATTCGAACTTTTATATAATTTTCCTCAAATCTAACTATTTGAGCAGGTATATCTCCTTTAATTATGCAAAAGCTATCTTGAAATTTAGTACTAAAAACCCCTTTTTCTGTATGGAAGGAGGTAATAACATTCTGCGAATTCTTCTTTCTGCCTAAGAAAGAGGTTTCTTTTCTTAAGATAGCATTTGAAAAAATTTTAAATAGTTGTTCCTCAATATATTGTGGTTTTTTTATTGCTTTTTTAACAGTTTTAAGCATATTTTCAAATGGGTAAGCATTGATATCACTCAATGGACCGTAAAATCTTGCTGTATCAGGCAAATGTAAAAGACTATGAACGTTATGAGTAATGCTAGTAGGACCATAATATTTTGAAAAATCATTTACAAAGATTTTTAGCATACTTTCTGATTTTGCAATGTTTTCACTTTTAATGTTGGGGCAAAGTAACATGCGATAAGCACATGATAGCAAAAGAAAATGGCTGTATTGTTCTTTGCTTATGAACGGTTTTATTATAACTAATCCTGTATAAATAAGAAGTTGTCTAAATTCTACAGATTTCCATCTGGGATATTCAAAGACGGAACGGGGTTTTCGGGCAAATTCTCTCGGAACATATGGAACTAATGACAAGAGCTGTGACGATATATTTTGCCTTGCGCCAGGGGACAAGCGGTGCCGTTTGTTTCCTTTGAATAAAGTATTAATTATTTTTTTCATCACTCCTAAGTCAACTAAATGCATTACATCTAGAGGAAATTGCGTAATCATGTTTGTGTTGATAGTTTCTAATGCCATTACATCATTTAAATATTTTTCTTTGTGAGTCTACATATTTTCTATCTTTAAAATCTTGATCGGTACGAAGTGTTCAACAGAAGTACTAAAAATAGTTGTGTTATCAACTCTGACACCTCTTTGTTCACATTTACTACAGCCATTTAATGAATTATGAGGCCTGGTTCCACAAAAAAAGGATCGAGCTGGAGCATCTACCAAATATGCTCGGATTTTAATATCAAATTTAAACTTATTAGAAATGAAACTTTCGAATTCAAGTCTTTTTATCTCACTCACAAAATCATGTTAGAAGTGGTCTATATTACTAGGTTTTTGTTTCCCCACATAACTTCCTATCATAAAAACATTTATATCCGGAATATTGATTACTTTAGCTAATATAGGCCATAATCCAATCTCACTACTTTTGAATAAAGGAAGTCCATCGATTCCAATATCCAATATAAACTCTTTTATATTTCTTTCGATGGCAATATCTGTAATTTTCTGTAAATTATTCACTATTCCAATGTGAAAATATGAACCTGGACTTACAGTTCTTTTCAAAACTCTAATATGTTGCCCTAATAATGTAGGTACGCTCAATGGTACATCCATACCTTGCGATTTTAATATTTTTAACATATCTGAAATGCATGCTATTGATGGATAGTGCTTTATATACCAATTGCGGAGTTCATCGCATAAAGATATTTTTGTTGGTATCGCAACATCGAAGTCATTATCTGATATTGTATCGGAATTGGCATTGAAGTTTCTTTCAACTATTGCAGAATTTGCCGCAATAACCCCGTCTCTATTTTTATCTTTTTCGTTTTTAATTAATCTGTTCAGCTGTCTTTTGCCAATCAATTTTTTTTGGATTTCCCCATTATGTTTTTTAAACTAACACAACAAATTTAAGACGACGACACACAATTGTTTACGTACAGAAATTCATAGAAAATACATCTACTTACTTCAACTTTATTAAAAAACAGTTTTGCTCCACAACAACAAAAAAAAAAGGACACACAAAAAATATCCCGTTATAAATCTTCACACGTGCGTAGAGACGTCCGTCCACATCACAATCAAATCACAAACTGATTACATAATCGAATAATAACTCGAGAGCATGCAAGTGAGATCCTAATTGCATATTTTCAAACAATAGATACGAACATTAACGATCTTAACTTCGTGGTGCTTCCAAGTGTGCAACCGTGTAAATGAGAACGGAAGCTCCCACATACTTTACTGAGGAAAAGTTGCGCTTCACCTGTTTTTACCAACTAGCAATGAATTCGCCTTTAGAGAAAGCGCTAAAGGAGACATGAAAAAAATTACTGCTTCCAATTTTCAGAAAATTTTTTGCTGGGAGAGTAAAAGTTTTTACTTGGGTAAAGTTTTTCTTAACTTAAACTTCGTTCCACAGTTAAATGATTCTTTGTACGAAGTTCAGCTAATTGGAAAAGACTAGGTGGAATAATTACGTTTTGTTGGATTTTTTCAAAGAAAAAAAAAATGAATAAATAAATAAATAAATAAATGGGTTTTTAACAAATTTCTTTAAAGCTTAGAAAATTAACTCCCTGACTTCGTATTTTAAAGATTGTCCACCAGTTTCTAAAAGTGAAGAAATATTTAAAAATATCTAACAAACAATTTTTTATTCAATTATCAGCCTTTCAGCGTCAATCAACTGTAAACAGTCAAAGAGATTCAATATGTGATTTGCAAGGTTTGCAATTAAAGCAAGTCCTAAGTATTTTATTCAATTTATTTTTGTATAGTTTCGCAAGGGAAAAAATATTTTTTGCATATAAACAAAATCTCTTATAATGTCCTGTTTTATAAAATTACTTCAAAAAGAAATCTCATTTGGTTAAGTAAGTTATGAATTTGACTTGATTCTTTTTGAAATGAGTTGTAAGTGTTATAAATAACTTTGAGAATAAACAGATTCCCACAACGACGAAGGATCTGTAATTTGGGTTCTAAATTACGCCGTAATTTAGAGCCTTGGAAATGGTTGTTGGAGGTAACTGCAACAACTAATACACAGCAAAAATAACACCACATGTATATGAAATTTACTTACGTGATGTTCACTAAAATAGCACAAAGGTCACTTGGTTTTAAATAAAAGAAATATTGTCTGTCGACAAGTTTATTAGTTTGGAATTATGGTTGTTGATCAAGACGATCCTTTATTTAGCAACTTTTTTAGTGACGACACAACTTCGATCACCTTCTGTTTAGAGGTCAAGGTCTATCAAGTCATCCTCATCGATGACATCGGTCTCCATTGGTGTGGATCGAAGGGGGGTCTGATTGCGGTTGTGGAGAGGGGTTTGGCTTGGACCTCGACATGCTCCCCCCTTTGCACGTGTGCAACATTGACGGCAGAAGCTAATACCTTCATTTGAATTGCGATTTCTTTTAAAATCTTTTTAATTGTCTCTTCTTCTAAAGACTCGTTAGGCTCTCCTTTTAGTCTTGTTGTCCTTGGCGTCTTTCGGGGTAGCAATAGCGTTCGACCTCTTAGATTTTGTAATTTGTGTTGCTGTAGCCTTTGATCCCACAATTGTTGTGGATTTTGGGCCTGTGGGTCTTTGTGTCGGCCCGTTGCTGGATATTGGTGCTAACTCTGCTCCGCCTTTGATTCCTGTTGGATGTGCTCTTAGCAATGGGAAGGTACTAAGGTTGCTTTGGTTTTTGATGCTGGGTACTTGAGGTTCGCGGTTGTTCTGGATGGAGTAGAGTATGGTGTCTTTCCCTGCACACCCTGCAATTCCCGGGTACGTTGCAAAAACGTACAAAATGATTCCGAGATAGGCAATTCAAACAGAACTTATGTACCCTCGCCGCATATTCTCTGTCCTTTTGGGTGACAGTGATATGGGTGATATTTATAACAAACGAGGCATTGTTCCCTTGTCCGTTCATTTTCTGGAAAGAAACAAAAACAAAGCAAACGAATTTGACCATACGACATGGGCCGTTAATAAATCTCATTCTTCTTTTCAAAAAAACATGTACCACACACTGTTCTACCGTTTACGGGTAATACGCAAAGTTTAGATATTGGCCTCGTTATTATGCCGTCGCATGTCTTTACGTCAGCGACCCTCACATGATCACCGTCGCCTATATAGGTCGTGACTATGCGTCCCATTTTGTAGGTTTTTGTAGGTATTTTTATTTCGATTCCAGGAGAGTATTTTGTTCTTGGGGGGCGGGCCCATGTCCCCGGATTTTTGACCCAAATTCCAGGGCCAACTGCCGGTTTAGTTCCTGATCCACATACCCGACATAATATGAATAAAATAAAAGCTTATAAAAATACCTATCCAACAAGTGGTCACGGTCATGGTATTTTTGAATGAAAAGAACGAAAAATATAAATATATATATATATAGAATATATATATATATATATATATATATATATATATATATATATATATATATATATATATATATATATATACATATATATATATATATATATATATATATATATATATATATATATATATATATATATATATATATATATATATATATATATTCTATATATATATATATTTTTTTCGTTCTTTTCATTCAAAAATACCATGACCGTGACCACTTGTTGGATAGGTATTTTTATAAGCTTTTATTTTATTCATATTATGTCGGGTATGTGGATCAGGAACTAAACCGGCAGTTGGCCCTGGAATTTGGGTCAAAAATCCGGGGACCTGGGCCCGCCACCCAAGAACAAAATACTCTCCTGGAATCGGAATAAAAATACCTACCTCTGGAAAATTTTTCGAAAAAATCGAAAAAATTTTACAAAACTATTGTTAAGCCTAATTAAAATTAATTAAACAAATATTTTATTGTCAGCATACATTTTTATTATAATGCATAAATAGTGTAGTTCAAAATAGTTACGCTTAATCCCATTATTGTTGTTTTTATTAAAACAACGTTTGTTTGTTATAACAACAATAACAGAATTAAGCCCAACAATTTTGCAACAACAAAAATTACAATATTGTTCAATAATGCATAAATAAAATTAAAACAATAAAAAAGCTGTAAGTTCGGCCGAACTTTTCATACCCTCCACCATTTGAAACGAATTTGGCAATTTTCAAAAAAAAAAAAAAATAATCCGTTAAAAATTCTTTAAAAATCTTAAAAATACCAAATGTAGCCGTAGTAATAGGGTCTAAACGACGAAGTGGACCTGCATAGGTAAATTTTTTATAAGCCATTACAATATTCAAATACGGAACATGAAAAAAAATATATCGGTGCATAACGTAGCTAAATTCATCTATATAGGGAGGTTCTATTATATGGGGGCTATACCAAAATGTTGACCTGTCTTAGGCTGCAGCATCCATTACGAACTTCAAATACCAAATTTGAAACAATTCCGTTGAATAATGTCGCTAAAATCATCAAAATATCGAATATTTGGAGGTACCGTTATATGGGGGCTATACGAAAACGTGGACCTGCACACTCAATTTTCTCCCTTATGCTGTAGTATCCATTTCGAACTTCAAATATAAATCTACTCCATTTCGTTCGGAAGCTAGAGTGATTTCACAGATCGATGGACATCACTAAATCGACATAGAATTTTATGCTGATCAAGAATATATATACTTTGTGGGGTCTAAAATGTATATTTCGTGGTGATACAAACGGAATGACAAACTTAATATAACCTTCGTACTATGGTGGAGGGTATAAAAAGGTAAAAATAAGCAGCCAATTTTGCCGACAGAAGCATTTTCTCAGCCAATACTCGATTATTATTTAAATATATTTTGATTTCTGATATGATTATTCAAATTGTTGAAACTCTAAATAAATATGATAAATACATTGCGACGTGCCAGGTTTTTGGCTATATCGACTACTTTCTATACTTGATATGAGTTATGTAATAATGTTTACAAAATGCAAAACTTGCTTGAGTTACCAGATATAGTTGGCCGAAGCATTCAATTTTCATACTTCATATAATACAAATAAAAATATTGCTATGGGCAATATTAAAAAAAATCGAATAATTATATACAATTTTATGCGAAAGCATAAGTTTCATACTCATCTTGGGCTTTTGGATGAAAGAAATATTTAGAAATAGCAAACTGTAAAGAATCGATGACTTGTTTTACAAGTGATGACAGTTAAAATATTGCAGATTGTCACCCTTTGTGGGTGAGGTACCAGAAGTTGTTCGTTGATATATATCAACTTCACAACAGATCTTGTGTTAGCAAAAATGTTTGAAGAGACTTGGATGCTAATTTCGCTTCCTTTGAACATTTTGTTTTTCAAAATCTTGAACCCTATGTGGGGGAGGCATCAGAAGAAATGGTCCGATCTCTACCATCTTTATAACAGATCATGTGTTGATGGAAATATTGAGATGTACCAAATCTGAATATTATGATCTTCACGTATACTCAAAATATTGACCCTTTATAGGGGAGGTACCAGGAGTGGATCGATGGAGTGGATCCATGTTAATAACAGACATTGGGTTGGTAAAAATATTGTGAGCTGTGTAATTGCACATTTATAAGCGTTGTAATTATTAAAAATGTTGACCCTTTGTGGGGGAGGTACCTGATGAAGTGAACCGATATTGACCATTTTCGCACCAAACCTAGCACTGATGCAAATTTTAGGGTTTGCAAACTTGGAGCAAAATCAGATTATCTTTTCTCTTTCTGTGTAGTAAAACTTTTTATACCCTCAGCCATATGGCTAGAGAAGGTATATATAATTTGATACGGCCAATAATGGTTTTAGAATAGGTCTCATTGGACCAAATCCGTTTCAGGACAGTTGGAGTCGATCTAGCGAAAGGAGTATCCAATTTGGTACATCGAAATATTATTGTCAAACTTAGATCGAGTTCGGCGATGGGCAATATCGGTCCACTCCTGGTACCTCCCCCACAAAATTTCAACATTTTCAAAGAAAATAATTTTCTGCACAAAGACAAAAGGATAATCGGATTTTGCTCCAACTTTGCAAATCAGATACCTCCCCCACATCGGGTCAAAATGTTGAATAATTATAACTCTTATAAAATGTGATGGTTGTACCGAGAGCAACCGGTTCTCTTCAAATTACACACAGCACACTATTTTCATTAACCCAAGGTCTGCTCTGAAAATGGAATATATCGGTCCACTAATTCTGGTACCTCCTCCACAAAGGATCAAAATTTTGAATATTTATGAAG